TTTCATCACTCTTTTTTTTTTTATAATAACAAAAAGGGGCTTATGTGACTCTGATTTTTTTTGTCAAGACTATCTTTATTCATAACTCAATCCAACTCAATTCAACCCAATTCTTTTAATAAAATACTCATTTCTCTCTCCTCCACTTATACAACCCACAACCCAATTCTATTTCTACTTTTATCCATGACACCAACCCAACCTATAATATTTTTTCTTTTCACTTTATTTTTAAATAAAATTATATATATTAATTTGTATTAAATTAAAAAATAACAAAAATATATAATTATAATGCAAAAATATTACCGTTCATTTAAATAATCGATATTTAACTTAACAATAAAATAAAAAATATAAGATTCGTCTGTTAATAAAGATGGTCTAAGCCTCTAAGGCCTAAGTTTGAATTTGTTTAAGATTCGTTAGATTTGACAATATTAAGTAACATAATTCTGAATTTTTATCATATGTTAGCCCGTTAAAGTTTGAACAACGAGTCGAACCCAACCTTATTAATTAACTCAATCCAATAAGGCAAGATAGGCTCGATGTACACTCAACTAAGAGCTTGAGTATCAAGAACTCGAGTATCAGAAGTTCAATAACAATTGGGTTCGTTTTCGACTATAGCCTCTAATAATTTGTGATCTAATGATTGGTTTATCCTTCACTAATCATGATTGCTTTTATTTAATTTAATTGTGTTCATTTACACAAAAAATCATTGAAACTTTGTAAGAAAAACACAACATTGTGGTGTTGTTATTATTATTATTATTATTATTATTATTATTATTATTATTATTATTATTATTATTATTATTATTATTATTATTATTATTATTATTATTATTATTATTATTATTATTATCCCCTATATATAATTCTCGAATGTGCTGAGTCTAAATGGCAGACTCGCATGCTTCGAGATCTTAGGTGTCAAAATTTCATTTTGTTATTTGGCTTGGATAGATTTTAATTTAATTTCAATCTAAATATAAATTAGGTTCGGATTACCATAAATATGTTGATTTATTTATGATCTAAAACTGTTGATTTATATTATTTTAGATGTATTAATTGTATTTTAATACCATTTTCTATTATAACTATTGAATTGTAAATGTATTTTAAAATTTTATAACTTTTGTATTTCTTATCGGTTTTACATATGTAATATATCAAATTAATCATCGTTGGATGAGCTTCGATTTGACATTCATATTGTATATATAAAATAAATAATTATATTTATCTTTATAGTAATAATAATCAAATATTTATTAAAATTAAATAGAAAAATAAAATTATTTCTCAACTAATATATTCATGTTTAATGTAGTTATATGTTATAAGTTAGAAAAATTATTATAATATAAGACATGTAACTCGCACAAGTAACAAGTGTTGTACTAAAATATATATTTAACATATATTTTCTCATAAAAAGTGTTTAAATTTTCAACTACTTTTTTCTCATTAATTTTAAATTTTAAGAAAACTTATAACAAGTACCGTAATACACAGGGATTGTACTAGTTATCAGAGCTGGCCCAGGCCCAGTGCCCAAATATAAAAAGCGGCACCAATTATGTTCCATTACTATATCTACGTAAAGTTGAATTGTATTATTGGGCCCAACTAAATGTAAATAAAAGCCCAAATCCCAAACTAGACTCACATTCTTAATACAGTACACAAACTAGAAGCCTTCAAGGCGTGACTTTTACTGCTGCAAAATGCCCCAAAATGAACTCTCGGCGAACAAGAAGATCCAACTTTCGTCTCCGACTTATCATATTCCCAGACCAACATCAGCATATTTTTCTCGACTCTCATTCTAAAATTCCAAGGGTAAAGTTAATCAATTTTATAGATTATATATGGCATTTTCAATTTTTTTTTTTTTTTT